AGCGGGCCGCTCGGGACATCCATCTTTCCCCTGCTCTTGTTCTTCTTGGCTTTGAATTTTCCGCCCTTACCGCCAGGCTTCGTATCAATGTTCTCGTCTTCCGGGTTATAACGCTTCTCCTTGTCTCCCTTTCTTCCTTCCTCTTCATCTTTCTTCCTTTGCTCGGCGTCTTCCGCCTCAGCTTGGCGGTCCGCACGCCTCAGGGCTTCCTCGTACAAAGTTGGTGGATTCCTGACAAAATCCTTGTAGAGCTCCCCTGACCGGATGGAATTTGTCAGCATTGCCACCCGGTCCTGTCGTCAAGGCCCTGGACCTTGACTGACTCCGCTCTCCACCTTGCCAAGAATACAGACAATGCCTCCTTCTTTCCCTGCTTCAGACTGAACAGGTGACTGAAATTCTTCTTTATGTCCCGGGAACCAGCGAACCTTAGGAGGAAATGCCTGGCCAACTCCCTGAAATTTCCAATGCTTCCGTCGGGCAGCATGTCATACCATTCTCGAGCTGGGCCGTCTAGCGTAGCTGCGAACCCCCTGCATCGTATGGCGTCTTCATATCCCATCATGACCATATACGATAGATATCGTGATATATGGTGCTGAGGGTCCGAAGTGCCCTTGTATGTCTCGACATTGCAAGGTTTGTACCCCCCTTGGCAACGGCGCCTCCATCACCGCACGAGTGAATGGTTGCGGGATGTGGAGGTCGGCCACGTATGGCTCTTCCCCGACGACCCTTCTCCTTAGCTCATCCAGTCTTAGCCTTAGATCCTCCACCGCGTCGGGTGTTGGTTCCGCTTGCGCACGCCCAGCGCAGAGCTGAACTCGCGCGGAAGAATCTTCAATCCTCTCGCCTGTGTGAGAACTGGATTCAGCATGGCGGGTGTCCCGGGAGCCACCCCGCCTACCTGGTTGACGAGAGTGATAATACGAATCATCCCCTCCTTCCCGGAAAGAGCGTTGCCGGGAAGGCCTTCTTCTGGGCTGTCGTGGCTGCTCAACTCGCCGGGTAGCCTCCCCTCGAGATTCATCTACGCTGGTGCGCCCTCCTTGATACCGCCCGGAGGATGCTTCCCTCTCTAGGAGTGGTATGACTCGAACGCTCGTGCTCCGTCTCCTGCGGCATCAGTCTTTGGAATCCCCGGGCCAAATCTTCAATCGCACGAGTGGCTTCCTGGAGTGCCTGCACCCCAGCATCCAGCGGTGTCGGGTTCCGGCGCGGAGCAACACGACGCCCGCCTCCGAGACGATCATGGACGGATCGCCCCCCACGACTTTGGTTCAACGAACCTCTCAGGTCTCCAGGGCTCGACAAGCTGTTCCTCAGGTCCCCCGTTAGCCTCACCACTCTGCTTCTCATGCGATGGCCGTTGGGCTGCTCCGAGCGCTCAGTGTGGACGGAAACTCACTCCTGCCTTGATGCTCCTGCCATCTTCCTCTTCAAAGTTTCCACCGAAAGAATGAGAGATAGCTCTCAATGAAAGCACCAATGTTGGTAGAAAATAGCTTGAAAGAGAAAACAGCAGCACTTCGGTATAGTAAAAGTAACGTCGTGAGTACATGGGGGTGATGGCCTATTTATAGGCATCCACCCACGTCCAAAGTCTAACCTACGTGGGCTTGGCCCAAATACATAATACATCTCCACGATAATGGGCGAACCGGCCCGATAAATAAGTAAATGAGCAAGGGACGATTCCCGCTCGTGAGACTGCGTCTTGGACCCAGTTGGGCCAAAGCTCGGGGATAACGGGCCGGTGGCACTGGGCCTGGCCCATTATCCCAACAGAAGGGTATAAATGGAAGGAAAAAATAGGTATGTTTGCAATAGGAGTAATTTGGTCCTATTTTGAAAAGAAAAACATAGTAAGTCTTATTTTGAGTTTTTGCCATAGTTTTAGTCCTATTTGGAGTAATTTCTAATAATAATTCTATTACTGAATACCTAAATACTCTTTATCATATACTTATTCTCAAAATTACCTGGACAATGAAATCAATGATGAAATACATCTTTTTCAGTCTAGTAATACAGATTCTGTCACTAATGATTCTTCCAATACCATGCAGACAGATAATGATTAGATTGATCACAATGCTACTGAAAACAGTTCTCCAAGGAAATCTACCAGAGTAAGATATGTTCCTATTCATTTAAAAGACTGAATATGATTTACCTACTTCTATCATTCCTAGTGTTTCTGAACCTTCATGTAATTTTGTTAGATATCCTATGCAAAATTATATTTCTTACAACAAATTAAGCTCTTCTCATCACTGTTTTACTGCATCTCTTTCAAAATTTGTTGAACCCAAAACTTATAAACAAGCTATTAAATCTTCTGACTCGAAAAATGCTATGAATACTGAAATTAAAGCTCTTGAAGATAATAACACTTGGATTCTTGTTGACCATCCTAAAGATCAACACATTATTGGTTGTAAATAGGTTTTTAAAACTAAACATAAATCTGATGTTCTCTTGATAGGTATAAAGCCAAATTAGTGGCTAAGGGCTATACTCAAGAAGAGGGCCTTGATTATTTTGATACTTTCTCTCCAGTTGTTAAATTAACTACTGTCAGAATCCTTTTAGCTGTTGCTAGTTCAAAATTTGGTATTTACATCAATTAGATGTAAATAATGCTTTTTTACATGGAGATTTAAATGAAAACATTTATATGCAACCCCCTCCTGGTTACTTAGCTGATAATGATCATAGAGTTTGTAAACTTATTAAAAGTTTATATGGTTTGAAACAAGCTTCCGGACAATGGTATTTTAAACTCACTAAATCTTTGAAATCTTTTGGTTATAAACAGTCTCAAGCTGATTTTTCCCTTTTCACTAAAGCTATTAATAATTCATTTGCTGTGATCTTGCTTTATGTTGATGATCTTATTCTTGCAGGTAATGATATGAATGAAATTAAATGTGTCAAATCCTATTTACATCACAAATTTACCATTAAAGATTTTGGTAAGCTAAAATACATATTAGGAATAGAAGTTGCTAGATCTGAAACTGGGCTGGTTTTAAATCAAAGAAAATACATTCTTGATATTCTTTCTGACTTTGGATATCTTACTTCTAAACCTTTTTCTACTCCTATGGATTCTAAGCTAAAACTTTCAAAGAATGATGGTACTCTTTTAACTATTCCTAAAACTTATAAAACCTTAATAGGCAGATTACTTTATCTTACTGTCACAAGACCTTACATTGCTTACTCTGTACTAACTCTTAGCCAGTTTCTTTCTTGTCTTACAAATATCCATATGACTGTTGCACATAGGGTGTTAAGATATCTCAAAATCTCTCCAGGAAAAGGTTTGTTCTATCCCTCTAAATCTACCTTTCATATTTAGGCTTACACTGATTCTGATTGGGGTTCATGTATTGATACTAGAAGAAGTATATCTTGTTATTGTTTTTATTTAGGTGAATCACTGATTTCTTGGAAATCCAAGAAACAGTTTGTTGTTAGTAGATCTTCTACTGTAGCAGAATATAGGGCTGCTGCAAATGCAGTTTGTGAAACTCAATTGCTTACTTACATTTTTCAGGATTTACAAATTCTCATTTCTTTACCTATTACTCTTTATACAGATAATAAATCTAGAATAAATGGCATGAATACTATCTCGGGATTTTTAATAGACCTATATATGACTGCTCTTAAAACAAGACAAAAAGGTGACTAAATCAGACTTAAAGTACTAAAACACCCTCATTATAAATATCAAATCCTAACCCTAATTTCTTCCCATTCTTCATAATCTGCGTATTAGCTTCTCCAATTGCCGCAGCCACCCACCTATGAAGCAGCTTCCTCCAATTGCTGCTGCCACCGCCCTCTGCATCAACACCTACCACGGGGAACCTGCAACCACCACAGGAGTATGCCGCAAAGTCTCTCTTTCTTCTTCTTCTTCTTCTTCTTCTTCTTCTTCTTCTTCTTCTTCCCAATTTCTTCTCTTCGTTTCGCCATCCTTAGATGTCTTCTCTTTGTTTCTATTCAAATTTGGCGAGGGCGAAATTGTGTGGAAAACATTAATATCTCATATATGATTTTTGTATTTCCATAATTCAGTTTCAATTCCTCCACATTATGAGAAACACTTTTTGTTTGTTTTGTATTTCAATTTCAAAGTATTTTTAATGGATTTAGCCTGTGAAGAAATCTATATTGGAATCCACAATCTGTTGGTATAGAACGGCCGAGAGAATTTGTTGTCAGCCTAAGGCTTCTTCCGTTCATCAATTTTTGCTTTGTAGCGTTGAGATTTTAGCCCAGATTCTGTAGGTACAACCTGCTTATGAACAAACTATCAAATGGCCCTGTGATAGAGGATGGATGGTGATAAGGGTACGTAGGGAGTGTAGGGTTGGGGCGGTAGAGGCAAAAGGCTGGTCACTCGTAATTAGTGACTGAAGTTGCAGGAGAGTCACAATTAATTGGTGGCATCATGGGGCGGTTGCTAAGGTTTGTGAATTCATTAGTGATTAAAGTTGTGATGATCGGCGATCTCTTGGTACCGTAGAAATGGTCACTAACCCAATTTGTAATGAATTTTTGCAGTTAAGAGGACTCCAGTGACAATGAATTTCAAGGTTGTTACCATCAGTCACTAGAAGAGGGTCACTATTGATAGAATGTTACATAAGCTAGTAACTATTGATGCCCGGAGTCACTATTAGAATGGGCAGTTATGTAGTCACTATGATCTTTAAGTTAGTGATTACATGGTCACTAATGGCGGCGCGGTGCTGGCGGAGGCAGCAATGCTGGAGGCGGTGGCGATGACGGTGCTGGTGGTCACTGCGGTGACCGGGCTGCATTAGTTATTATTACCAAGTATAAAAGTGGAATATCACGATAATAAATGGAATATTAAATAAGGATATAAATGATATGATAAGTCACATTTTTGGAAAACTTAAAAACAAGACACATTTTTGTTTTTTGTATTTGTTTTAGTAATATTTATAAAATAAGGCCATAAATCTACCTACTATCTTGCACATAATCCTATTCAACATCAAAGAACTAAACACATTGAATTAGATTGTCATTTAATAAGAGAAAAAATTAATTCAGGTCTTATTAATCTTACGGTGTTGTTGCAAATGCGGTTTGGTTCGGTCGGTTTACCGAATTGTGCACACCCCTATCTTACACACATTCCTAATAATTATCAACTTGCAGATATATACACAAAACCACTTGAGAATCTACTCTTCAGTCAGTTTACAAACAAGATGAACCTGTTGAACATCCATACTCATCTTGAAGGAGCATCTAAAGAATAACAGACTAGACTAGTTTTATTGTTTATTGGGCCTTTTATATTAGCCCATCTTTTATTCCTCATTAGAATAGACTTTAGCCATTTAGCATATAAACTGTATTTTTAACCCTATTATGTACAAATTCATTCAATCATCTTATTCATCTTTCGATTACTGCTTCTGCATTCAAATCTTTCTTTTGCTCCGTAAATTCACACTTACCATTAAATCGTGTCAATTTAAGAAGACACTAAATCATGTGACTGGTATAATAATCTATTTAGAGTACATTTCATGTCCGCCCCCGTCTGGCCTTCGCCGTTTGAGGAAGTTCCCAATGATATTTTTTGATGAAATTTTTTGTGTATGTTCTTCGTCAAGTCTAGTTCATCCATACCAAAAAACTATCTAATGTACCAAATGGTACTCCAAATATGAGTAAACTTGGTAAAGTTGATGCAGGAAAACAAGTTGATTACACATAGCCAAACCCCTGGGATTACATACAACAAATGAATGGAAAAACCTTGACGGCAGGCTGACTGGCCTACTCATACATGGAATCCATGATGACAACTCGAGCTTGTGGGGATGAACGGGGGCAGCACCTGATTTCCTCTAGGATTTGCAAATCCCTAAAGTGAGATGATTTCGTAATAACAAGTTCCTCAAGGGCAGGAGACTTCAAAAGGATTGTTTTGACAAACTGCATTTCAAGTCTGAATCCACAAAAGATTTCAATCTTCACTGTTTTAAGCATTTCCAGTTCCTTCTTAATAACACAGCTGTAGGGATTCGCCAAAAGTCTGGAAACATCTTCATCGTTGCATCTCCGTCTGCCCTACATACATCACACAGAAAAGAGAAATCAAAATAGCATATGCTTGACTTGTCATAATTTGGAGAGAATAATGAACCCAAAGTCATAATGGCCAAATCAATCGGTAAATAATGGGTCTTACATAATCCCATGTCTCAATTCCAAGTTCACATAGCTTTGGGCATTTTTGAATCAATTCAATAACAAAAGTGAAGTGCTCCGCACCAAAAAAACTGGCATTATGAATCACAACGACTCTCAGATTTGTTGCATTTGGGAACGTCTGTGCGGCTACTGCATCAGGTGAAACCTTTAAAGAAAACAGAACAAAAATTAACCTTGGAATATCTCAAACAAGTCAGAGTGAAGAAACATAAGAAATGAAACTAAATACTCCGTATTTCATCATCACATCAGCATAACAAAGTGTAGAAGTAAAAGATTTATTCTTACCGACAACAAATCTAAATGCAAATGAAGAGTACTGATTACAGCAAAATGGAGCACAAACCATCTGAAATCAGTCACCCTTCGAAAATTACGGTCAGTAGTCAAGCACTTGAGTTTTGGCGCGCTAATCACAAAATTTTGAATCCGAGGACAATTGTCAAAAGAGAGATTCTCGAGATTTGGAACACTATAGACTGTTCCAGTGAGATCAGGCTGAAATGAAACATAGTCAAAAGCCAATGAAGTGACGCCAGGAAACACACTTTGTGAATTAACAGGGAAGCCAAAATCCAACGCACCAAGTGCGAGTCGCTTAATTGTTGGGCAAGTGACTATACAATCATGAAGAGTATATGTTTCTTTGAGAATATCAATAGAGATGTGAAGTTCCTCGATGCCATTTCTCGACAGAAACAGACACCAACGATCTATATCCGCTGAGAGTGGTGAGAGAATTTTTCTATGGAGATTATAATCCTCAAAGTGTGAAATCACCAGTGTAAATTTCTTAACGGGTCCTGTCCGGAGCATGAGACATCGGTTTATTATTTCGGTGCAATCTATGGGTTCATCTTCACTGTGATATTGTGGAAAATATGAGAAGAAGTCCAAATCAAAAACCAGCTGGCCGTGAGCATACCAGGCATGCTTCCAGCAAGTTGAAAGCACAGCCATTCTGGCGGTTTCACATATGTTCAGCAACCCTAGAATTGATTCCTTCAGCTCTGCGGGGAGTTGACTTATGAAATCATTTCTTGCGCCTGATGTGGTTTTTCTTCGACAAACACTGGCCATTACGCTGATAAAGAAAAATGTGCTACGCATTTGTTATTGAGCTTAATGCTAAAGTACGTAGATGGATATATGGATCAATGGATGTATATGATGCATTTGCTAATCACAATAATCTGCATAAGTTCGTATTTAGTAATTTAGTGTACATGCACGCCAGGCAGGCTTAAATTACATCACATGCTCTGCATAAACTTAACCTGAAGTCTGAAGATTGTGTATTATGTTAACAAATAGGACCACTTATATTAGCAAATGGGACTATTTATATTTTTCATTAGAATGAGATAAGTCATAAGTACATATATGGGATAACAATACAAGGATTGTTAGGTGATAGGCAAATCTTAAGGATAATATTGAAATGAGGATTGAGCTGAAAATTGTTCATGAAGAATTGATGATATGTGTTTTTTGACAAGCAAATACCCAGAAACTGTAAGAGATTCTGAATCTTCTTAGAGGTAAGTTTTGAAATGAGAAGTTAAAATACCATCAAGCTAATCCGCCAAAATGGTTTCTTGAGTGAACTACATGCGAACAATTGAACAAAGGACCGCCAGGAATCATAAAAATTTGACAACAGTTTACCGCTAAGCGTGATTCATGAACAAAGAACAATAAAATTCACAATTCAGTTCATTAACTGATTTAGATCTCTATTATCTAGAAGTTTATTTATTGCATATCAGGCAGATTGAAAATAAAAATAAAGTATGCCTTTTAGAGGGCAAGCCTGATAGAGATGTTGTAAAATTGAAAAAGATAATCGAAGCAAACCTCGATGTAGCCCGGAAATAGAGGACGTCGTCTTCTGTTGAAGGCTTGGTGCAAAGTGGAACCTTTGCGGCAGTTCTAGTTCTAGTCTTAAACCGATGGAATTAGTCCGGCCATCACTTTATCCGTTTACAAAGAACAGTTGCGTCAAATCAATGGTACCTTTTTTGCGAGGACTCAAATCAAGGGTACTGTTTAAAAACAAAAGACCGATTTGAGAAGGTACTTTTATCTCGAGATTCACGTAATAGGATGTAAATTGGAATATAATCTCAATGAGATACATAGAGAGTGGAGCTCTGTCTCTGATACTTGCAGAGGTTCTATGTATTTTTAGCATAGTAACCCCTCATCACGTAAAAAGGCATAAACCTCTCATCCCTCTTCCATATTGTTTCTCTTTAAAAATTTAATTCCCTTTATTACGTATTTTCTCCGTCCCTTATAACTTTGTCAACTTTCCTTTTTTGGATATCCCATTAACTTTGACATTTTCCCTTTTACGTAAAGAATTTGTGGTTTCGGTTAATTCTCTTTCCTCTGCACAAACATCAACCACACAATTTTTACTTTATTAATCCGCGTGCCGGTCAAACTTGGCAAAGTTATTAGGGACGAAGAGAGTATTACATTTTTCTCCATAAAAATTATTTAGGTACACCCTCGGTTAGGGGCACACCTAATGTTTTAAATGACGTAAGGCGTGTCGAGGCGGTACGACCAAACCCAGAGGCTTTGAAGCCTAGGCGAGTTTAGGCGAGACCTAGACATGAAAAGGCGTTTTATTCCCTCTGATCCTTAATTAACTTTATACTTTCCTTTTTGGGTCGTCCCATATTAAACTTTACGCTTCCTTATTTGTCTTGTTTGGCAAACAAATCTACATCAAACAGTGCAAAATATTGTCAAACAATGCAAAACAGCGTACTCTACAGTAAAGTTGAATTTATTTCCTTAATATGTGTGAAGTCAAAGTGTAAAGTTTAATAAGGACCGGAGGGAGTAATATTTAACTCATTTTTTAAATTTTTCTAGAGCTATTACTTGAGAAATAATGACATGCTTATAAGTAAAAATGGTGGTCAAATATGACTCCTTAAATGTAATGGTCATAGTACCAATTTTTAATTATTGTCAACTTTCCTTTTTTGTTTGATTCAAAAAAATTGTCACCTTACTTTTATAGTGATGAATTTGTGGTTCTGTTCATTCTTTCATTAGAAATTACTCAAAATAGGACTAAAACTATGTCAAAAACTCAAAATAGAACTTACTATGTTTTTCTTTTCAAAAAAGGACCATATTAGTCCTATTGGAAACATACATATTTTTTCATTCCATTCTTACCCTTCCTTTAAATATGAGTTCATTAAATGTTTAATTGATAATAAATTCGAAAAAAAATCAAAAATTCGCAGAAAAATAATTAAAAAATTTATAAAATATTTCTAAAAAAAATAAAAAAAAATTGAATTTTTTTATTTTTTTAAAAAATTAATAAAAAATAGTAAAACTCCATAAAAAACATTAAAAAATATGGATGTCTTTCCCACCGCCTGTACTACCTCCCAGCACCACCATCTCCGGGGTGGTGAAATAAATGCCATTTTTCCTAAAAACTGCCATTTTTTCTGAAAATGCCAAAAACATGGCATATTTCTCTTTGAGAATGCCAACATTTTCATTGTTTTCTACCATAAATATGGCATTCATAATGAACTTGGCATTTTTCCCCCTGGACCCCTGGTGACTGGAGGTGGTGGTGCAGAGGCAGCAGAGGCGGCGGTGATTTTTTATTTTATTTTTTTTGAGTTTTTTTTTTATTTTTTTTTTTATTTTTTGAAAAAAAAAAGAAATTTTTATTATCGAAATATTTTTATTACTTTTTTAGTATTTTTTACGAATTTTTATTATTTTTTTATTATTTTATTATGAATTAAAACATTTCAATAGCTATAAGGGTATGTTTGTCCAAGATACACATAATTAGTCTTATGAAAACATAGTTTATATTTTGGTCTTATTTGTATAAAGTGAGTGACTTTTAGTCCTATTTTGATAATTTACCCTTCTTTCATCCTCTCCACAAACTTCAATTAAATTAAACAGTTTCTATTATTATATTTCACATCCAACATCAACTTGGTAAAGTTGAGCGGGACAAAGTTAGCACTACTTTAATGTTTAATTTCTATACTTAGGTAATCATTGTAGTATACTCATAGTAACTTTTGTCATATTTTATCAATAAATATTATTGTAATAATATTTTATGAAAAATCTTCTTAAAGTAGTTAATTAATATGTAAATCTAATATTAGATAAAATAACACATAAAAAATGTAACTCATATTAAGGAAAATATAACTCACGTCGATGGAAAATCTAACTTAGGTGCATGCAAAATGTAGCTTGTTGAGATAAATCTAAATGTAACTCGCGCGTATAAAGATGTAATTCACTCATAAAAAGATGTAACTCACGTACAAGAAAATGTAACTTCATTTATTAACAAATGTAACTCTAGAAATTGTCAATAACATAACTCACATATGTAGAAATATAAATCACATATGAAATTGTAATCTCATACTTTATCAAATGTAAACCAAAATTACCAAATATAATGTCTAAAAAACACTAAAAAATATAAGAGAGATAATAAATACATTATAGGAAAAAGTGTGAATATGAAAAAATATATTACAAATAAGTGTATAAGTATAAAAAATATTTATATTGAAGAAAACAAAATTATTTTTGGTTATATATAAAATGGAAAAGTGTATTAATTTATTTGAAAGGATGAAAATTTGATCACAAAATTGTAATAAATCCAGTGTTCTTACATTTAAAAAAAAATAGTGGAAACATGCTAGCATTTGATGATGAAAAAATTAAAAGTAAAAAACAAAAAAGCAAAAAAAAGAACGTAAGTGGGCTATGTGTAAGTGGAGAGAGCATGCCACCATCAAACAATTTGCCCTGTACGCTCCGTTTGTTATAAAAACGGTACCATATTTCGGATCGGTATACCATGTGCATGGTACACTGATCACACGGTATAATTTGTCGGAGAATAACAATTTGGATGATTTGGCAATCCAATATAAACGTGACTTCGAATATAAGCTGCCCCGTATCATGCTTTTACCAGCCCGTTTGGTATCACGAAAATCGGCTGATTTGGCCGATTCTGTTGAAATTTATGAAGTTCTGGCTGAAGTGGTTGCATTGGCTGATTCTGCTGATTTAAGAAAAAAAATACTTTTAAAATATATTTTATTAATAGAATAAAGAAAAAATTATATGTAAAAATAGCTAAAATGGTCATCTATAGTAACTTCAGCCAATACGGCCAGAAAAGTACCTACAACCTTACTTTTTCTGCTTATTACACAATTCAGCGCGCGAAAGTAAAAATCACGTGTTTGGTAAAAAAGTTGGCTGATAAGCCGATAAACAGTGTGTTGAGGTTTAGTCCCGTAGATCCGAAAGCCCAACACAAACTTTGGATATTTTAGAAAATGGATAATAAATCAAGTGTATAAGGAAATATAAAAGTTGACGAATAATAATGCTCAAGAGCCCACTTGTATTAGGTAATTTACAAATTACACAGAGACTTCCCGAACGGTACGTCGGAATAGTGATTAATATAAGAACAAGAGAGATAAAGCTATTCTAGGCTTTGAGTATCAAAATGCTAACCCTTTACAATGAGCTTAATCCATCTATTTATACTAATGGGGGTATGGGGTGCTCCTTGCTGATTGGTTGCTAATCCAGCCACTTGGATGTCCATCCTCCCACTTGCTGATGTCACACTCTAGCATTTAATGCACTTCACCACTTGCTAATGGTCCGTTGCCCGATCGGAGTGGTGAGCCATGCTAAAACGTCGTTGATTTGGCCAAAGTATCTTGGCTGACCCGAACCCCGTTCGGTACATATTTCTCCTTGGACCCATTCATCTTCTGGATTCGGGGCTATTTATTGGACTGGATATATTGGGCCTTTGACCTGGGTATTGGGCCTTCGGCCCAATATCCCAACACGAGTCCCCCATTTTCGATGTCTCGAACGGTAGTGAGTGCATTGGGAAGTAGAACTTTATACGTCGAATGGCGATCGGGATCTAGAATTCGTTGTTTCCCCAGGTCATGATTAGTACCTTATTTGCGGCTGTCGTTTGATTGTTTCCATAATCGTCATGATTACTGGCCTTTGCTCTCCCATGCGACACGTGTCTATTTAAATAGTCCAGGTGACGTGTCTTCCTCTGGTTGGCTATTGATTCGGCGCTTGTCAGGCTATAAATAGGCCTTAGTTCCTTGGTTATGGGTTTCGAATTCTCATTTCCTTCGTGCCTTAGCTCTGCCTTCTCTCTAGGACTCCCAAGTTTCTGTGCGTTCAGGTATTTCCCGCCCCTTGCTCATTCTTTCTGATTCGTGTTTGGTCAACATGTCTTCTCGAACGTCTTCTTCTGGTTCGGATTCGGGGCCCACTTCTCGAGAGGAAACCCATGATGCCGATGTACTGGATGCCATAGAAGTCCCTTTTGCTGATGTCGCCAGTAATGCGACTGCGGGGGCAGTTGATGAAGAACATTCAGGCGGCTCTACTTCCAGCGAAGACTCTGATGGTACGATGTCCGGTGATGAACTAGCTTCAATGGCGGCTGGTCCCCCGGGCGATGTTCCTCGCTATAGGGTGGATTTAAGGCTAATCAGGGAAAGGAGGCAGAAATTGACCTCTCACAATAGGGCCCAAATTCCAGCCCTAATTCCAGACCCAGTTAATTTCCGTCTTCGGGATGGGCTTCATCTAATGCGCCACCTCCCTGGGATGGTGGTGTTCCATCTAGACTCAGTAAAAGCTGGGCTTAGGTTTCCCCTGCATCCCTTTTTCAGATCCTTCCTTAATTTCTATGAAGTAGTACCAGCCCAAATCATGCCGAACTCCTATCAGGTGATGGCCGTCTTCATTTGCTGTTGTAAAGATGCCAAGGTTACACCCACTTTGGAACTGTTCCATCAATTTTTTAAGGTGGCCCCCCAGCAGACGCATGGTTACTTGGCTGCCACTGCTCGAACGGGTCATATTTTATTTAAGGGCAACCTCACTTCAATCAAAGGGTGGAAAGAACGGTTCTTTTTTCTCTCCGTCCCGGACAGCTTGATTCTGAATAAG